CTACCCTTTAAAATTATTGATTTACTTAATTTAGGATGAGCATCAGCTATCACCTAGCTGGGGTCAAATCCCCGGCGGCCACAACCACCTGACCCGAATTCCAAGCCCACCCATGGACCCGATGCCAAGCCAGGTAAAGCTAAAAAAATTCAATGAGATTTATTAAACAATGGATTTCCTAATTATAAAATTTATTAAAGTATATTCCTTGAATTTAGCCGATGATGCACTGGCCCGCCCAAATGATCGACCCCTACGCACCATACCAATACGCACCCCCGTTCTACGGTATCAACAACTTTGTCCCGATGCCTTTCCAAATGGTAGTGAATTTAATTTAATAGATTACTTGAAATGCTCATGGAAACTCATAAAAAACATCAATTCCTGCAAATTTCAGCAAAATTGGCAACTGGCGAACCAATTCCATCAGCCTGTCGCCCACCCGGTTCCCGGCTGGCCCCAACACCAATCACCGCCCACAAATCCATCAGATTCCAAATTTCATTCTCTATAACTGATTTTTTTTATTGCCTGACTGTAACTGCATTTCTATATTCCTAATTTTTACGAGTACCCAAAAAACCGTGAGAAAATCATCATAAAACGTACCGTTTCATGTGTCTTAACCTTTGTGCTCTCGGTGTTTTCCTTTTTCTTGACCTCACCTTTTTGCCTGTAGCCTTTTCGTATTGCTTTATTTAGCTAAATTTTGCTTCGGATTGTGCCATCGTATTTAATAAAAAATAAATAAGGTACCCCAGGAAGAAGGGTTGGGGCTAAGTTAGTTAAGGGAAGAAGGGCTAAGGGACGACTTTTGCCTCACCCCACCACTGGAAAGAGCCGAGTCGTTACCCCCAGCTCTAGATAACGGCCGATAGTTTGGAGGAAGGGTTTTTTGCCAACTAAACTGCTATCGCCTTTTCATTTTACTTTAGAAAACCTCACCTAAAAGCAGTCAAATGCACATGTATAAATCGTTTCAATTCTGCATTCATCAAAATCGAGGCAACGCGCACGTCAGAATTTCGCTGTGGACTCATTCGAACCGGCTTGAAACGCTGATTCCGAGGTGCTACCTGGCATAGCTGTCACATCGCGCTTGTGGTTTTTACGATTTTCCGGGCACTCACAAACAAAAAATAGCGGTTAAATGTTTATTGAATTCAAAGGTGTTAACAAATCATAGCATAAAATTGTTTCTTAAAGTTTGGACAAATGTTAGGTAAAAACCTCGTTTAATAATTATTACTTAAACCAAAAAATACGAGGGGAAAAACCCTAACATTTGTCATCATTCAGGCATAAATATGGTTAATTGTGTTAACAATGGCGCCCACTGGATGTGTTACTTGTGGACACGTTCATTTTTGTCTACCGAGCGAAAATCTTTGCGTTCAACGATGGTAAGGTTGGGGTCACCGTCACCATCCGGGATCGGCATGTGTTTGCCATGTGGCTCATCCACAGGGATTCCGACAGCGTTTTTCCATGTGCCCTCGTAGTCTTTAGAAATCACAAATCTGTCCCCCACGCGTCCATCCATGACAGGGCGGGCAGGTTTATCAGACATGGTTGTACGGAAGTCTGGCGAGACGGGGCTGAAATTATTATTAGTATTCTTCTACTTTTTTTAACAAAAGAAAAGCGCATTATTAAGACACGGGAGTGCAAACGGATATAATTTTTGAAAAAGTCAGCGAATAGTTATGGCGACATATCCAAAGAAGCTGTGTGTTGGCTTATCTCGACATCTTTCGCCCGCTTTTAAAACCCCAGCATTGCACCTTACCAGCTAAAACCCCGATCTTCAAGAAAGCCAGAGATAGAGAGAGAGAGAGAGATAGAGAGAGAGAGAGAGAGAGAGAGAGAGAGAAAGAGAAAGTAAGTGTGAGAGAAAGAGGGGACAATAGAGAAAACGTGGCTTATCTCGACATCTTACGCACGCTTTTAAACCCGGTATTGCACCTTACCAGCTAAAACACCGATCTTCGAGAACGCGAGATAGAAGAGAGAGAACGCAAGTAATCGAGTGTGTATAGTGATCGCTGCTTTGACACTTGTCGACTACTCCTTCGAAACAAAAGTTTATATGGTTCGAGTTTGAAACACCTTTGACATCGAACTGATAAAGAGATGCCAGGACTTGGAAAGCACATCTAAATGAGTAAGTGATAAGAAAATGAAAAATGACCGGAATAACTTACTCTAGTGAGCTTGCGGAAGTAGCGAATGCTAGCATGCTGAGAACCTTGCAGAACATCTGGAAAAAGACAAAAATAAGGGGAGAAAGCGATTGCGCAAGGTGGATTTCTCGCGAAATCAGCCTTGGAAGGTACGACCGATCGGGAGGCTTGCCGGGTGTCTAGGTCAAACTTAAAAGCAATCGCAAAAAGCACAAACGCGATTTTTGAGCTGTGTCATGTAACACAACGGAATCAGCGTTTCAAGCTGGTTAGAATGAGCCCAGGGCGAAATTCTGACCAGATCGACTGGATGACGCGAATTTTCGCAAAAATCGGCGTGGTCCCTCCTTTGCTCCAATACGGCAAACAGTTACGCAATTTACCGGCATACAAATTTGTGCGGGGAGAGGAGTTGCACGCACCCGGGCAGCCTATCTTCTACCAGGCCCCGGTTAAAGTCTTTGTCCTTGGCGGGATGCATTCTTTCGCGGAAATCTAATTGCTGCTTAGCTTCCTGGCGCTCATTCTTGATGTCTGCAAGGGCAGATGACCAGCGTTTTCGGCGGAAACCTAATTTTTTGCTGATTTTGGTGGGGTCACTAGAAATTTTGGGCTTTGGCCAGGAAGTTGGATTTTTTGTGGTGTCCTTGGCATGGGGAGACATTTTTGGGTTAATGATATACTTTTGCAGGAATTATCATTATTTTTTTAAAAACACTTTCCTGGCGAAAATTTTTTCGGACAGTGAGAGGTCGACCATAGAAATTGGCCAAATCGATAGGCTTAGGCTTAGGCTTAGGCTTAGGCTTAGGCTTAGGCTTAGGCTTAGGCTTAGGCTTAGGCTTAGGCTTAGGCTTAGGCTTAGGCTTAGGCTTAGGCTTAGGCTTAGGCTTAGGCTTAGGCTTAGGCTTAGGCTTAGACCCGGAACCAATACTTGTGCAATCTGTTTTGAATCGGCTTTCCCTTCTGCACTGACAGTGGGCCAGATGGGTGTCGGGTTGGTGGTTTCCGGGATCACTGACCAAGACTTTGAGAGAGATTTTCTAAGCTTTATATCTAGTGTTTAAAATCTAGGAGATGAATTTCGATGTTTATAATTATTTTTTATATTGTATGAATTTAATAGAAACCAGGGTTGAAAAGCCGCTTCGCGACTTTTCAACCCTGGCCCCGTCTAATCCTATGATGTTCTTTATTTTGCATAATTGTGCCTCAATCACGATGACAAAAAAAAATGAAAAACGCTCTCTTTGGGCCTTTATATAGGCTATTGCAACTTCCGGCGTATGCTAATTTTCTCCTAACAAAGTGGGCGGCCGAATTTTTACGAAAAACTTAATTTTAATGTCGAAAACAAATGTTTTACAAAATATGATATGTGTGCAGCCATCGTCAGTCCATTACGCGTCTAATGACGTATCAAACACCTCCTTAAACCCATCCCCTCTTGAGATATCCTCCGGACACGCTGACGGAAGTTGCATGCAAAGTGTCATACACACACACAGACACTATTTTTTTATATATAGTAGGATAAATAGGCTTGGGCTTAGGTTTAAGCTTAGGCTTAGACGTAGGCTTGCGCTTAGTTATCACCCGTTCCAAAACCCCTTCGTACGGTAATTTCGAGAAATCCGCAGGTAGCGAATTATACCATTTGAAAGAGCATCAAAAATAGCGCCGAAAAAAATTTCTTACGCAACTTGTGATGCCTTGGTTTAATTGCTAAGATTTTTCGAAGTGGCTAAAGCGGATTTTCGCAAAGGTAGACTTACACGTTCTGATAAAAATAAATTTATTTGTGTTGTCTTTTAGCTACTGCGATGCGCGCAGTGTGTTGATATTGCATTATGATGCTTTTATTGATTCGCTGACGTTTGGAAAAGATTGATTAGTGGCCAACATTCAACTGACCCAGATGGCATGGGCGGATATTCAAATGGCGCGCAATCTGTTCAACCCTTCACTTATTTTCGTCACGATTGTTCTTCACTTATATTGTAATAAACGGGGATGTTATCGATATTATTATTGCTTATACTTGCGTTGGCAGTGCATGCAAACCATAGTAGGATAATATAATTGATAACCAGTACTATTTTTTTAGATTTTTCAGCGAATCTGCTGAATAATCATGTCAAGGATTTTCATGGTAATAATTGCTTCGACACACTGGTATTTTTTGATGATAAATAGGTTTTGATGCTTAGGCGATGGGTTGCTTCGTGGACAAGGCTGCTCAGATGGATCCAGGCTTGAACCATCGGAAAGATTCTTATTATCCTAGGCTCTACGAAATTTTGTGCGGGTAAGAAAATACATTAAGCAGCTTTAAACGATTGTTTGAACAATTTATCCTTAGAATTAAAAAAAGGTCTTTACAGGTCTACTTTATGCAAATTTCAGCAATCTAAATGAAATAACAGCCAGCTGCAGATGTTCGCAGCATTTGGCAACTAGAATCCTGCACGAGCGCTGCAATGGAAAGACGTTAAATGAAAAATGTAGGTAGCGGATGTAGGTTTTGTGATTATGATTTTTAGACATTACATTTTACATGTGCTTCCCAACAGATCATAATCCAGAATTGGATAAATGCGAAAAAAACCGGTCGGATAGTTGTGCCGGTCTGGTCGAAACCCTGAAATGCAAAGCGGCAGTCTATGGGATGCAGTGTCGAAATGGTGCTGAGGCTTTTCGAGACATAGTTTATCGCAGGGTCAGTTGAGAATACCATCGATTTTAGATAACGTTAATTCCAGGCGTATTACAACATTTACGACTGGGATGAGTGCCAGGACGACGTTATCTATGCCTTAATGCCAGAATATGCATCGAAGACGTTTGGGACGGCTTTTGGAGGTTTTAATAGCTTTAATTTTTTGTAAATTTGATTTATACAATTTTATGAAACAATATATATTTTTAGTGATGATCTGTGTGTGTATGTTGATCATCGTTGGCATGGGGGCCATTCTTTATCCAAGAAAACGCACGGCTGCTGCTGATTATCACCAGGACGTTGCCATCAATGGTGAAAATCCGTGATTCGGCTTTTACAATATTTCTCATATGCAAATTTTTGAATTTAATGGATTTGAAAAATTTTTTAAATGTTTATCGTGGTTATTGAAGTACAAAAATAAAGATGGAAAAGCTAAAACTACGTGCAGCGTGCACTTTCAATACAATAATTAGCACTAGAGGCATATTTTTAGCAAAATATGCAAAGAGATATGTCATGTTGTCTTTTGTACTTGATATGAGATGAATTGAAAAGATAGGAACTAAATTCTGCTTAGTTTTGACGTTTCTTAGGCCGGCTCCTGCTAGGCGCTACGTCGGGAGCTCGCTGGTTTCCGGACGCGGGACCGGTTGGAGTTGGGGCGTTTTTCGCCTTAAAAAATTAGGTTCTGTAAAAAAGTGAGTGAACGTACTTTTTGAAGAGAAGGCGGTGATGGGAAGCGTAGGAGCTGAAAAGTCAGCTTAAAAAAAATAAGATGAATTAATGTCACCTCATCCATAAAATGACCTAAATTTGGTGGCGGCGATCGATTGGAGGGGGCCGGGGCGCTAAAGAATATTAGATTGAAATAATTTTGTTTACCTGATCATGTGGAGCAACATGGTGCGTTAGCCCCGGTGGGTACGGTATCTAATTTTTTCGTATTATAGCGCTAAAAATTAATACCGGCATTCCATAAGCGGCGCTCATTGGAGGCGGGGTGATCATTGTCTGAAAAATTGCTTTGTGTCAAACCGATTAGATTACGGTATCCATGATATGCTGGGCCATAATATTTCGCGACAATCCTTGATGAGGATAAGGTGTCTAAAACTTGAATATCCATTTGGAGCTGAATTTCCGTACATTTGATTGAGTCGGTCCTGGGGTTTGCCAGCCCGTTTGGGGTGGTGTTGGGTAGTTTTCGGGGTAATGACGAACGCCCTGAAAAATCATTATGTTCTTAAAGGATCTATGTCCTAAAAAAGCACTGTATCCTTTATAAATTCGACCTACACTCATTTGTCTAATTTGCGAAATTGAAGGCCGAGCATGATTGATCTAAAAGCGCGATCACCGTAAGAAAAGCTCTACCCTCAAGATTTCCGACTTGAAATAGGCTACGTTGAATCGTAGGTGGCATTGGCTAAAACATAAAAAATATTGAAGAACGTTTTTTAAAAAAACAACCAGGACAACCGTGCGACTACTGTAGTTCGAACTGCTTGGCAAGGTTGTGGCTGTTTCTGGTAGTGGTGGCGGGTTGGCACTTTCGGGGGAAGGCATGAAGGGTGGCTAAAATTTGGTGAATATTTTTCTAATGTATGCCTTTACCGTATCCCCATCAGATTCCAACATCGAAGCCTGAATCTGGGCGAGGTCAATGTCCTGAAAGTTATTTTTGTATTTAATATGTAGTTTTGCTAAACCTTACCTCTTGCAAACTTTCCAAATATCGTTTCTCCAACGGATCTGCGATTTTAATGAGTTCGCCGATTGGTATCTTAATAAAATTACAAACCCAAGCCAAGCGCTAAATTTAAATCAGAAATTTGCATACCGGCGTATTCAGCAGTACTTCTTTCATCCGTTTCTTTGCTTCGGCCTGATCTGCTTGCTGCTGTTGATGCACCTGAACGGTCATTAAACTCAATAGAAATAAGCAAATTACCTCGTTCAGAAACTCTTGGACTTTCTGTTGCTCAGACGGGATTAAATCGTTATACTAAATTGAACTGATTGCGGTTTAAAGTGCAAATTACCGTCCGACAAAACGTATGTTCATTGCGACATTTTTGCCGCATATGCTAAACAAATTAATATGAATATACTGAATTTTAAATACGTCTTTAGCCGTCTCCCGCTGGACCTCAACTTCCTTTGCCAGGAGCCGGTTCTTCTTCCAGAGTCCTGCCACCTAATTTGCATAGGATTTTTTTAATTAACTTCTTACCAATGCCTCAAGTAACGGCTGATACTGGTAGTCGGCAAAAATAGATTTCGGGAATTTGAAACCCGGATAATCAATCCCGTCTATGATCTCGATGCCCATATCGGTTTTTGTGAACTTTGGCACGGCTAAAAAAAATAGTAGCTTCAACTAATTAGCATGCATACCAAGTCTTAGATCATTCTTTATACATAGCTCTTCGATTGCCGCCAAGTGTTTTAATTCGTTGAAGAACTGCTTAAAATCACTGAAACTTTTTAATAAGGATGTAAATACCGTTCGCAACTCTCGATTGGTTGGGATGATGATTCTTCTGATGCAAGGATCTGCGCTAAAGCTCACGCATTAAAGGGATGCATCAGTAAAGTACCAATCTGGATACATATGCAAATGTACAAAAATATTCTTATCATCTTCAAGCATAGTCGGTAGCTGCTCCTCACTCGTATCGTCAGCCGCCTCCGGAAACGGCGGTTTTGGGCTCATGCTAGAAAATCCGATGAAAAACGGATTACAAAGATGTGAAAACAAGGATCCTGTTGAACCCAGAAAAGCCGGATGTCGCGGCATTTGAGATTAGAAAAAGAGACAAAGGACTTTTCCAAAGATCAGAAAAATTCCGGAAATACCTGGGACGTCAGCAAGAATCTGCAACGGTTGGGAATTTTCGGTACAAACGCAACAATTTTTTGTGGGAATTTCGGTGCAAAAAAGTGGGTTCAGATATATAAAAGGCTAATGAGCGCCACTCCCCGGGGAGTAGGTGAGGTTGTAAAATGATTAGTTTTTCCTGTCCTCTTGGAATTCATTTCGTGGAAAGGGATTTGCAGGAATGGAATTCCATCTACGAGTGCGTTTGGCTGGACTTAGACCCCCGGGCGTCACAAAAGATCCCGGAAAACTGTTGCCTTGATAGAGGTATTTATAAGTGCCATGGGGGGGGGGAGCACGTGCTCAGGATCTCGATTCTTCCGGAATGTCATCCCTGGCCGGTGTCCATCAGTTAAATAGCGATGACAAAATGGTGGGGAGGGGAATTATCTACGTAGAAGGTGGCCCTCAAGCCACGCCCTTTTTTGAAGAGTTGGGTGTATTACGGTAGAATTGTTTTAGTGATATTTGGATTGAGGCGGAATTCAGGCTAGTCTAATGCATAGGGAAATAGGAATGTGAATAAATTTCGTGGAATTAAAATCCGGTATGCAAATTTAAGGCCGAAAATTCTATGTTTACGTGCCTCGACCGAGATCGACGATCGCTCTCAAGGAGGCGGGGTTCCAGCAGGTAGTAATTAGCATGGTCCTCAAGGGGATGGGACGAGGGGCGCTAAGCCTGTGGAAATCCGGGGTGCTTCCGGAGTACATCTGCTCAATTTGAAAGGCTGGTTTTGAGTCCAAGGTGAAGATTCTACGGATTCCCGGAAACCCTGCGGTAGGGCAAAAGCATATTGGCATAATATAGTCAAGCCGGGGGTATTGGGTGTGAGCTTGAAGTACGGATATGTCGGGGAGGTGGTGGATAGGTTTTTAAAAGGAAGCATTTGGCGAAGTTTTAGAAAAATTCACGTTCCGAAGGTAATTTCGAGGGCTTGGAGGTGTTTTAAAGGTGTCGGGACACCCCGGAAACTCGTATAAAAAAAATTTGCTATGTATTTCTACAGTAACCTTAAATATGAAATTATTCTTTCAAGGACGGCAACACAGAATTTTCCTAATTGTTTAAAAATTAAAGATTTTTTGAAGGAAAATCCGACGTTCCCCAGTCATTTTAAAAGTGCAGCAACATCTTATACCGTCTAAAAATAAACTTAAGAATAACCCTAAATACAAAAATGAAAATACATCTACAGTATCCCTAAAAGAAAAATTATGATATTTTGAGGCCATGTGCTGCATATGAGGCAATATGATATTTCCAGGCCAGATTTGGGCTTTCAGAAATATCCCTCTTTCTGACGTCCGGTCTTGATTAAACAACGACTTTCAGCCCTTCAGAATAGTCTTACGGTATCCAACTTATTTCCCACCTACAGTACCCCAAATAACACTCCCGAATACCCATTTTCAGGATGTTTGTCTAATGCCCAGCTACTTATCCCAGAACGCAATCTTCCAAAAACCTACCCTTAGCCCCCAAAAATCCCCAAAATGATGACAACCCCATGCCGGGGCCGCGCGGGGGGGTTGGTTTTATACTTCCGAAAATAACTGCAAAGTTGGGGGAAATCTAGGGTGGAGTATCTGAAGAAATAGATGCAGGGGTTGCTATATCCCCCAAGGGGGTATCACAGGAAATGCGAGTGGCGACAAGCTAATTTCCGATGGTCCCCAAAACGGGCTAATTGGCAGACATCCGCCAAAGGGTATCCCCATCTAATGTCAGTCCACTCACCCATATATACGATTTTCGCCTCGGGGCTACAGTATTTTGCATGAAAAAAAGCCTGTCGCCGCTTTATATCCGGATTTTTTCCCTGGGCGCCCTTTGGTTACAGTATACCGGCGGAAAATTGGGGGTTTTTTGGGGGAAATTTTTGTTGCGACTACGGTAAGACGGGTTGATTTTGGTCCGTTGGGAACAAGTCAGAAGTTACATTAATTTGGTTTTCGTGATTTCAAAGGGGAGGAAGTCATGAAAACCGTATTTAATGATCAAACTATACGATTTGACGCAAAAGGGCCATGAAGCGTATATTTTAAAGCTCGCAGAATCAACACTTATTTCTGTAATTTTTGCTTCTTGAATGGTTTTCCTAATTTTAAAGGGAGTAGGACATCATGAAAGTACTGTATTTTGCGAATAAATTCAATGAAGCATAGATCTGAAATGCGTCACTAAATGAACGATCCTACATATACATATATTAGTAGGATAAAAAAATAGTGTCTGTGTGTGTGTGTGAGTGTGTCCGTGCCACTTTGCATGCAACTTCCGTCAGCGTGTTCCAGCGGTATCTCAATAAGGGGGTCAATTAGGGGCATGTATTATACCTCATTAGGTGCGCAATGGCCTTTGGATGACTGCACAATAACAACATTTTCAAAATTATGTGTCTTCGACGTTAAAATTAAGTTTTTGTTGAAAAATCCAGGACCGTCTTTGTTAGGAAACAATTAGCATGCGCCGGATGTTGCGGTTGCCTATACAGGGTGCGGCAAAAGTATTGTCGCGAGCTTTTGCTTCATATCTAATTCGCGACAAAAAATCGCAAAGTTTTGTCAACAGGATTGGCTTCAGACAGGTCCAAGGCAGCAACCTGCTTTTGAAAGTTTTTTGGAATCATGATTTTTGAGCGATTTTCATTGCATGATGCACACGACCAAAAATCACGGTGCGCCGCGTCCTCAGTTCGTCAAAATAGGGTTTTAAATTCGGAGACAACGTGGGACCATGACTTTTCATATGTGTTTCTGGTAGCATTTGCTTTGTTCTCCGTCCTCCAAAATGGAAACCTTATAATTTTGTGATTTGAAGGAGTTATGGCCTCAGCCATGTTTGAGGAAAATGGGCTAACCTGGCCGGTTTCGCGAGAAGCTTGGGTTTTTCGGATTTTTAGTTTTTTAAGGGGCTCTTCAGGGGATAACGTAACATTGTACTAATAAGCCGCCTGTTTGCTTATTTTAATGTGCATGATGCGCTAAATCCTGATAGCTATCCACCTCTGGTTTGAAAAAAATTATTATGCATTTGCAAGCAGTCATGTAAGCTTGTGTTTTCGAACCAGGTCAGGATTACTGGGCTCAAACTTCGGGAATATATAAAAAAGTAGCATTGATCAACCAGAGAAAAATTAGCAAGGCTATCATTGTTTTGCAGACGACACAATCTCGCTTTTTGCATACGAGGCGGCCATGGGCGGCGCACTGGGTTTGCCTCTTCTTTGAATAGGGTTCCTTCAAAAAAAGAGCCGCAACATTCTTTGGTTGATGGTTTCGCAGGCAGAGTTTTACATGCTCTTTCAAATTAAATAAGAAGCTTGGCGTAGATACCATTCCTTGGCCACCTAGAGAGCGTCTAAAAAGCCGTTTTTAGGCTTGAATTTGCCGGGTTTTTGGAAAAAGTTGTCCTAGCGACAAAACAAAGCAAAAATTCTGGCAGTAAATCTTATCATCGGATAAAGCATTAAAAAACTGCATAAAATAAATTTTTATCTAGAATATTCGTCAAATTTCCTCGCAGATACAGTCGGCGGAAGGTTGCGACAATACTTTTGCCGCACCCTGTATAAGGGAAGAGAGGTAGCGTTTCTCATTTTTTGTCATCGAAAATCGCTAGAAATATGCAAAGTGAAGAATATCATGCGATCAGACGGGGCCAGGTCGCGAAGCGGTTTTTCAACCCTAGTTAAAATTAATTTTA